ACGTTAAAAAATAGATCACAGCACTGAACGTGATGTATCTCGAAGCTATCAACAGTATAGTACCGCGCTTCGCGGAGAGCCGTTACAAGCGTTAACCCACTAATCCCGCCGATTCACACGTAAAACAATAGGCGTTTCCAGACCGGTGATAGAGGGACTGTGGTTATATGTGGACTTTGCTGTCACTTAAATAAAATGCTATTCATTTCACATAACTTTTTATCTGGGACTAACATGGAACGTTTATCAACAGAAATATACTCATTGACTGATTTTGACAACAACCAAACAAACATACATGTACTTGTGCCAATTATCATTATTGTGTTCATCAAAACAATAAAACTATGGCCCAGCCTACCTTCAGTGCTGGTCGCTAATTAATATTCATGAGCTAATTAATATTCATACCATTAGTTACAATTTAACTACTTTAGGTAATTTAATTATTTTAAATATTTCTGACACTTTATTCATAATTGCATCATAAATACCTGACATATTAAAAATGTAGAAATTGTTAGCATGAACAAAATACATTCAGTCAGTTTCCTAAATGCAGTAATTAAAAAATCTTCTTATCATTGCAACTTTTTGTTTTCATATAGCTTATGCTAGACAGTTGGAATTCCAGTATTTTCTCCAGTATTAAAAAACGTCTTCAAGACAGTGCAATGAAACTAGTTCATGCTGAAAGAAATGGTGAAGCATTTGATGCGCAGTTAGTAATCGGAGTCAGAGAATCCTATGGTAAGTTATATGTTATTTTCGTGTCTATCAGACATTATATTGGGCATTTGCACATGCATGTGTGTCATCATTCGATTCAGGATGGCTGATTGGCAGCCATTCCAGAGCCAAAAATTCCTCAAAATCACACATTTCCACCATTCCTGAACCAAATCTCAATCGTCGTGTCATGGATGCATTGTGTTCAAACTTAGTACATTTATTGAACATAATAGCACCTTGCTGTACTTTATTTAATTTTGTTGATTGCGTTCAAAGTATTTAACTGATTCCATTTTGTTACAAAGAATACAGATTCGGATCCAACAGGCCGGGGCCAATCAAGTTCAAACTTTGCACACATACGAATGTATCAGACATCATATCAGACATGCAATTTCGGCACCGTAAATTCAAAAATGGCTGACTAGCAGACAATTTTAAACTTTACTACACATACATCACACATCAGGTTATAGATCTCGCGTCTATATTACAAACAGGGACTTTGGTCTTGACAATAATTTGTCATTATTTCCCTTTGATTCTTCTTTCAGTAAATCTATGTTCAAATGCAGAAGATAAACTTCAGATTTATCGCGATAATTTTGAAAAGGCTTACTTGGATGCAACAGAGTCATTTTACAGAGCTCAAGCCCCGTCCTATTTAGCTGACAACGGTGTACAAAATTACATGAAGTATGTAAGTATTGTTTTAGCCGATCCAGTATCCATGAGTGAATCTAAAGAAATAATAGTCAAACTTTGCTACAGTCAAACCTGTCTATAAAGGACAGTCAGTGGACTGAGCCAAACTGTCCTTTATAGACAGGTGGTCTTTATATGGAGGTGGCCTAATTTATTCATTTAATCATGAATATTAATTTGGGCCGGAATTTTAAGGGAGATCATAAGCAATACATAAAAACAAACCTACAATGAATATGTCTTTTTTAATTACAGGTTTACTTTTTTACTACAAATTATATCATGTAAATTCACTGAAGCCAAGTGATTCTGCCCATGGATTCATTGGTGTATTTAATGCATAAGAACGATTGTCAACGATCGGCCGCATTGGCGCTTCGTTTCAGCTCGGACTTTCACACTCTCGCCAAGCAGTCTTATTCCCCAGTCTCTTACACATATTCCATCACAGGCGGTAATCAGTCCCATCGTTAGTATTGTCGATTGTACACTGTGACAAAATGCACAGACAAAGTTGCCGTGATTGAAAAAACAAACAAGCATTAAAAATGAAGAAGCATTGGTGATAAACAAAATTGACCAAACTCATAACGATTGCTCCAACTCTCGGTGTTGAATCAGAAAGTGAAACGAACCGGAAATGAAACACGATGATCGTACACGCAATTTTACAGTTATTTGTTGCAAGCATCGACGTGTCAAAACTCCCCAAACGAATTTTCTCGCTTGCGAATTATTGATATTACCGTTTATAAAAAAAGAGGATCAAAATAGAAAACATCTTTCGTTGAGAATAACCCCGAGATGACCCCTCAGTAACGATACGTTTTGCCCACGCGCTAGCTTCATTAGCATAATTTATAACTATAAACAACATGGCGGCCAAAATAGGTCGGATTTTGCAATCCCGTGATGAAAATGAAATAAACGAATGTTTTATTATTTTGTTTGGATATTTCATGTCGACAAGGTAAATAAAATATCTCTCATTTAATAAAACTGGTTCATTTTTCTTGTTTTCGAGACGGGGGGAATTTGCTCTTCATGTGCAAGACAGTCCACAGAAGGGCCGCTGGCCAGCTGGGGATCGATAGTATACCGGGGGTAGTACCGATCGGAAACAAGCTAGTTTTTCATTTCAAACTTTGAATGAAACTGTTTTAATTTGTTGTTAAAATCTTTCCAGTCTCCAGACGTTACATTCAGAATTTTTTTTTTTTACTTTTTCGCAACTTCACAAACCAAGTTGCGATGGTCACCCCTTTCTATTAGCCCTAAAGATTGCGTACTCGGTAATCTGAACGTAACATATGGCCACTTTCCTGTTAGCGATTCGCAAGTAGCTATTGTCTTTTTACTGAGACAGTCTGATGGAAATGTTGGTGGTCGTTATACAAAGGTTAAAGTGTGAATAGGTCTACAATAGGGTGGTCGCTGGTCGCGTTGGACAGGTGGTCGCTATATCCAGTGTCTTTAACGTGTAAACTGCGAAGGGACTGTACTAAGGTGGTCGCTATGAGCAGGTGGCCGCTCTGCACAGGTGGTCGTTAACACAGGTTTGACTGTATTATAAATATGTATTTATTTATAATTTATTCTTGTAGGCGGATGCAAAGTTGAAGGAAGAAGAGCAAAGAGCACAGCGTTACCTAGAAACGAGAAAAGGATGCAATTCTGTCCAAGCAGTAAGTGTATTTTCCAATCTATAATGCCAATGTATTTTCACTTCTTTTTTATTTTAGCAGACAGTACTTGATAACGTCTGAGTTTAGGATCAATCTGCTCGATAGATTTGATGCTATTGTATTTGTTTCATTTGAATCGCATTTCCAATAGAAGTGCATGTAAACCATTAGTTGTATATAGTGTATATGTATCATAATATGATTTATTTTGACTATAGCCATAGAACTGTCATTCACTGTCTCAAGTACATGCAATATATTTTATATGAATGATTGTATAACAATTCAGAAAGTAATCCAATGATCTTGACAATGTGGACAGACTGTGCTTATGATATTTTATATGAATACACACAGAGGATTAGTCACATGCAGTGTCTGGTGCCAACTACAGTCAAACTTGTGTTTATGACGACCTGTAAATAGCGACCACCCTTGAGCAGTCCCTTCGTAATATACATTGTACATGTACAAGACACCTGTCTTAACGTGACCAACAATCGCCCTATTTATTATTATGCATGTTTTTTGCAAACATGGTGGCAAAGTAAAGCTAGGCAATTATCTAAACAGATGAAAATAAGTGAATTTTTCTCTAAAAACATTAGTATGTGTTAAGTAGTATATACACATACAATGTATTGAACTTAATTTGTGGTAATGTAAAAAAAAAATAACACTATTTTCCATTGTATTTTATTTATTGTACAATGTAGATGTTTGCTTGTTTGTTTAGCTTATGATCTTCTTTAAAATCCGTGCCTCTAATCAATATTCATGAATAAATTTAGCCACCTCCATATGTAGACCACCTCAGTCCTGTCTATAAAGGCTTAGTCTACTGACTGTTCTTTATAGACTGGTTTGACAGTAGGACTCAATTAATATAGCAGTAAATACAATATATCCATGGTAACTACAATAGATATCATTATCACACCGCAATGCTTACATTTCTTTATTTTTTCAGCTTACAGAATGTTGTGTACATGTATTAGTTACGGCATTCAAAGAAACAATTCTAGCAGAATGTGCCGTTATGATTAAGACAAATGAAACTGAACGTAAGTGAACTTACCAGTCATTCATCTACCCCTGGACCCACTACATTGTCTGAGTAGGCATTATTTACTTTTGAGTGTTAGCTGCCTTTTTAAACATCGCCATGGATTCCTGCTTCAGTAAAATGGAGTTACTACATTGCATGATGGTGATAGGAAACAAAACAGCAAAATTGGAAAATGTAATTCAAGCAGATTTCATCAGTTAAAAACCCAGTACAGCTCCACTTGTATGCCCAATAGCTCTGAACTGTTGTGAATTTGCTAGCCAAATTTTCAGTATATATTTTGAAATGTTTATTCCTCTGGAGCCCTATGGCATGTTGTTTCACCAAATTTTGTCTCCACGAATGCTATCAAATCACAAAATTCCTAGCAGTGAAAATTATCTTCCCTACATTTTTGAAAGCCAAATATGGAACACTAAATGAATCAAACAAATCTGCATAAATTGACGATCCAAAGTAGTATTGTCAAGTGTTCATAATTATGCATCATGGATACATACAATAGTGCTTTTGAGAAAATAATGTGTAATTATTCTTGTTCCAGGGCTAAGGTTAATGTTTTCATTGATGGACAGAGTACCTGATGGCATCAGTCCTATGTTAAAAGACTTAGAAGACCACATTATTGAAGCAGGCTTGGCCGATATGGTGGCTGCCGCTGAAATTATTACAACAGTGAGTATCGTTTATGACAAGTTGAAATTCATCACTGATAATAACTTCGACTGTTGTTCAATAATTTTGTACAAATTTTAATCCTAATATGTTTCTTCTGTTAAATAAATATTCCTTATGAAGTTCAACTGTGACATCACCAGGTTTGAACAAGTTCAAAAATATGTGCTGTAATGTCAAGATGCAATTCATTTATCCAAATGGGTCAACAAAGCAGGGCATTGCACAGCTTGTATATCATGCTTTACATATTGTTACTGGAATGGACAATGACTAGATATACAATAAATACTATCGATTCAACATGCATGTACATTTGCTTTATTCACATATACAACTAAATAAATCACAATCTAATGGGTTCACCCATATCACTCTTCAGTACATGTCCCAACCCTAACTGGTTTGCTAACTAACTGTTCTGTATGTTCCCCCACTACAGAATATAAAACTCTATCTGTTCTCGGATTAAATATTAGTTAGTCTAATCTGATTGGCTTGAGCAAGATCTTGTATCTGGCAATAGAATACATATAACTATGTTTTTTTCAGAATTATCACACTATTAGTTGTTTTTAAAAAAAAAAAACATAGCTCTTTGTCATCCCTTGCAATAGTAGTATAATTCAAGATTATTAATTTACACAAGGTGATATAAACAGCTATTCTGTAGATATTCTCTGTGCAAGCAAGTTATAATGAGATTTGTAATGGTGTGCTTATGGTATCATATTTTATTAGGAGAAGATGATAACAATGCCTTACACTTGGTTATTATCTTACAATATACTCTTGATGTTTATAACCTCTAATTATATCATCACTTTTCTTCATATATAGGATTCTGAAAAGTATGTAGAGCAACTTCTCGTATTATTTAATAAATTCAGCTCTTTAGTAAAAGATGCATTCAATGATGATCCAAGGTTTCTAACAAGTAGGGACAAGGTAAGACAAAGATGATGTCATTTTAGGAATAGTTAATTCAGCAATTCTGATTGGTTTGTTTGTTTGTGTGTGATGTCTTCTTATTGGTCATACAAATTAAGCACATCTCCATTATTGCAGTAGGGGTGTAAGGTGGTATGTAACACAAAATTTTATTTCACAAGAACTTCTTTATCCCATTTATAGAATATTACTTTTTATCCCATTCATTAGATTGTTTTTCATTATTCTGCATTTTTCTCACTTCCTTTCATTTCTGTCTGCATCACTGTTTACTATTTATTTGCAACAATATCTTTTACTTAAGAGATTTATATTCATTGTAGGCCTATAAACATGTGGTGAATGATACAAAAGTATTTAAATTAGAGTTACCAACCAAGCAAAAAGGGTAAGTATACTTTAAGGTCTAGTCATTTGTTTTATTTTCTTGGATTTGTAAATTTCATTTGACTGCGGATTTGTATATTGTGTCGCGCACAGTTATCTAACATGAACAAATTTTACTTTCTGTATGATGTTCTCCAAGCTAGTTTGTAATTTCAGACATTGTTTTGATAACCACGAGTTGAGTCCTGAGAGACTAGATCGGTTTCTGTAGCAACCGTGACGCTATATCCAAACGTTCGCTACATTGTTTCCCATTGCGTTCTCGTGGTACTTGTCTGTTTACCGCCCAAAATTCCCACCAAAGTTCTCCCTCGTGTTAGTCGCGTGTCACTCCTAATATGGAATGACAGCGCTATGTTTCGTTTGTATGCGCCAATCATTAGCGTTGTTTTATTTTCGGAACGTTTTGGCATGATATATTCTAGAGTACAAACAC